TGGCTCCAGAAGGTCACCTAGATTGTTCCGGAGTGATTCTCTATGAAAGTGGAACGCTGCTTCTCGGAAGAAGGAACTTGAAACCACTGGCAGGAGAGAAGTGGAAAGTCGGTACCTCATCCACCGTTGAATAGTTTCAGCAGCTGCAGTTGCTCTCTTGGCATCCGAAGGACACAAAATTCAGCCGTTCATGACTCTTGAGAGGTTTTTGTCCTACTTCCCCATTAAATTGTCACACGGTGAGACACACCGTCGTACTCTGCTGCACAGTAATAAACAGCCTCGTCCTCTCCCAGGGCCCCAGAGATGGTCAAGTACAAAATTCTACCCGAGGAGTCTTTGGAACCAAAGAAACGTGAGGGGAGCCCGGGGCTCAGCTGTTTGTCAGACTCTGTATAATAACGTAATAAGAATCGCGATCGATCCCCAGGCTTCTCCTGAAACCAATGGGCTGCTCTGTCGTTCCTACTGACGCTACAGGAGAGTTTCATGGTCTTCCCAAGTGATACTGAGGCCACAGGTGTTTGAGACACGGTGAGCTGAAAGTTCTCGCCTGGAAAGAAAAAAAGGGGAGAAATCATGGTGCCCATGTTCCACATCAGAATAACTCACCTTTGCCATCATTTTAGAAGGCGCACGGCCTGTTCTCACCTGTGGAGCACATCATGAACAGGAGGCTCACAAAAGATGTTGAAAAGGTATAAGATCCTGCATGAGACTTTGGTGACAAGAAAGCTCCCAACACTGATCCTGCACACCCGGGGTCTCCCTTATCTCAGTCTCGTTTGTGGAGGTGGAGCCATTACGCCCCTCCCTCTTATTCGCTTCAATCTGATTGGCTGGAGGATCACAAGAAGGCTCTTCAGCCCTTCTGTGTTGCTGGAAGAGCCTTCTTTCAGGATACCTTTCCCTTTAGACTTTGGCAAAGACCATCCCGCACTTTGGATGTCAGTAAAGTTGGGAGGATGATCAACGTGACTCCATAACTCTTGGAAAAGAAAACAGAGGAGAAGTTCTGCCAGTAAATGGTAGAATTCGGAGTTGTTTGTTTCTTTGTTCGTTCATTCGTTCACTCTTTCAGCTTGATGGCTCCTCACTATAGTTTGTAGAGCATATCTTGAGTGATTTATATTGGAAAAAAAACAAAAGATAGGCCGTTTGAAGACATTCCTTCAGTAAATGAGAGGCAATAGCCAGAAGACGATGCCAGAAAATTAGCAGCACTGGGCTTGGCAGCGGTGGCATCAATGTTCTAGCTTTCTGTGATTCTCTCCTCTCTTTTGAAGCTTCTGATGGCTTCTTAGGATGAAGGGTGTCTTTAGGGATCCCTTGAACATGGCAAGCTCTTTGGGACAGTTTTAATGATGACAACATGGCCACAGGTGATGACATCAGCAGAAATGCACAGTGTATCTTGTGCAACAGGATTCTGGCCAGTCTGTGTCTGTGTGTTGGTGTGCGAGAGAGAGTGTTTTCAAGACAAGGAAAGCCTGTCAGCTTTCGATCCAGGTTCAACCCCTCCTTTAAACATTACTTCCCCCTCTCCCCTACCTGGATAACCCTTTCTAAATATCCACAATTGTGACTATTTCTATATCTTTAGATAAGGGGACCGTACTTAAAACAGAAAAAGAAAAAGAAGTGGAAAATTGTAAATCTACGGAAAGAGTACAGGGACTGCCAGGCTTCTGGTCCTGCCATGGAAGAGGTCAGGTCTGGAAGGCTGAGAAGCATAGAATCGGTGGAGGTAATTAACTTGGACGGGGCCTGTGAAGCCCTTGAGTCCAAGGCTTTGGCTTGAAAGGACAGATCTATGAGTTCTGGTTTCTCTTGAGTCTGGATTTCCATCTTGTGGTGAACTGTGTGCTTGTGTGTGTTTTCCCCTCTAGGTTGAGCAATATGCCTGCTTTGAGGACTACACCGGCTGCCCGCAGGGTCTCATCCTGCTACCTTCAAGGTGCTGATTCTGCCTCAGAGTTTTATGCAGCAGCTGTTCCTCAGTTGGGCCTGGTGGGAGCTGCCATCTTGGCCATGGAGGTCCTCCCAGCTGGCACCTGCCTGCAATGATCCAGAGGTCCATTCCACATCCCCGCCTCTGAACTCAGAGAGAGAGAGAGAGAGGGAGAAATGCAAGATAGTTGCCAGCTTCGCGTCCTCTTTTTTCTAATGAAACAAAACATTGAGGCATAAGAGTTTGGCAGGAATAATTCGCCCTGAGGGACACGATTTGTGTGCTTGTTTGCAAGGAAGGGCTAGCGGGTTCTTAGCTCTGGTTAACTAATACTGTATGCCTGACGTCTTGTACCCTTCCTAGCCTGGTGGCAGGAAGTGAAGTCTCCCATTCTCTGCTCTTTATGATTCTCCATCTCCCTCTAGCGGGCTTTGAGGCAAACTTAAAGCCAAGCCGGAGAGGAAAGCATAGTTATAGAGGCGAAGATATTCATCATGAGGTTGCAGCTGGAGAAACAAGAGGGTCAAGTGTAAGGCTCTGAAATATGTCCCCAGAGGTTTTGTGGAGGAGGCACTGGCTTCTGCCAGTACTAATTCCCAGTCACTAAAAGAGAACCCTCTACTCAAACTCAGGGAAGTTCTCCTCTGTTTGCTGGTGTAATCCAAGCTCCAATTAGGTCATGGTCCCTTCATCCGGGTTCAAAGCACCTGGAGAGTTTCATGGTGTTCCCACGTGGCCCAGAGATGGACACGCTGTGATCTGAGCATTTGGATCTGGAGAGAAAAACAGGGGAGAAATGGCAACGACCCTTTAGAAGTTGAACAGTTCCGGCAGCTGCAAGGGTGTCTTGGCATCGCAGGGACACAACATTCAAGCATTTGTCTCTCCAGAGAGGTTCAATACGGAGGTTTTTGTCTTACTTCCCCATTAGCCTGTAACACCGTGACAAGCATCGCTGTACCAAGCTGCACAGTAATAAACAGCCTCGTCTTCTGCCAGGGCCCCAGAGATGGTCAAGTAGAAAATTTTGCCCGAGGAGTCTTTGGAGCCAGAGAAGCGAGAGGGGACCCCTGAGCCTTGACCTTTGCTGGACTCTGTGTAATAATATAACAGGAATCGAGGGGCATTCCCAGGCTTCTGCTGGTACCAGCGTATAGTTCTGCCATCCATACTGATGGTACAGGAGAGTTTCGTGGTGCTCCCAAGTGATACTGAGGCTGAAGGTGGTTGAGACACGGTGAGCTGAGAATTTGCGCCTGGAAAGGAAAAAGAAAAAGGAGAATTTGATGGTGCCCCTTTTGAAGACATGAGACACTTACCTTTGCAGTCATTTTGGAAGGGGCGTGGTCTGTTCTCACCTGTGCACCACATGATGAACAGGAGGCTCACAAGGGGAACCCAGAACATGTTGAAAGGGTTTGGGATCCAAATGAGATTTTGGTGACAAGAACTCTCCCAACACTGATCCTGCACACCGTGGTCTCCCTTATCTCATTCTCGTTTGTGGAGGCGGAGCCATTGAGCCCCTCCCTCTTATTCGCTTCAATCTGATTGGCTGGAGGATCACAAGAAGTCTCTTCAGCCCTTCTGTGCTGCTGGATGAGCCTTCTTTCAGGACACTTTTCCCTTTGGACTTTGGCAAAGATCATCCTACACTTTGGACTTCAGTAAAGTTGGGAGGATGATCATTGTGAGCTCATAACTCTTGCTGAAGAAAACCAGAGGAGAGATTCTGCCAGTCAAGTCGGAGTTCTTTGTGTGTGTGTGTGTCCGTTTTCTTTCTTTCTTTCTTTCTTTCTTTCTTTCTTTCTTTCTTTCTTTCTTTCTTTCTTTCTTTCTTTCTTTCTTTCTTTCTTTCTTTCTTTCTTTCTTTCTTTCTTTCTCCTTCAGCTTGATGGTTTCTCACTATAGTTTGTACAGCGCATCTTATGTGATTTCTTTTTTAAGAAATAAAAGATAGGTCGTTTGAAGAGATTCCTTCAGTAAATGAGAGGCAATAGCCAGAAGACGATGCCAGAAAATTAGCAGCACTGGGCTTGGCAGCGGTGGCATCAATGTTCTAGCTTTCTGTGATTCTCTCCTCTCTTTTGAAGCTTCTGATGGCTTCTTAGGATGAAGGGTGTCTTTAGGGATCCCTTGAACATGGCAAGCTCTTTGGGACAGTTTTAATGATGACAACATGGCCACAGGTGATGACATCAGCAGAAATGCACAGTGTATCTTGTGCAACAGGATTCTGGCCAGTCTGTGTCTGTGTGTTGGTGTGCGAGAGAGAGTGTTTTCAAGACAAGGAAAGCCTGTCAGCTTTCGATCCAGGTTCAACCCCTCCTTTAAACATTACTTCCCCCTCTCCCCTACCTGGATAACCCTTTCTAAATATCCACAATTGTGACTATTTCTATATCTTTAGATAAGGGGACCGTACTTAAAACAGAAAAAGAAAAAGAAGTGGAAAATTGTAAATCTACGGAAAGAGTACAGGGACTGCCAGGCTTCTGGTCCTGCCATGGAAGAGGTCAGGTCTGGAAGGCTGAGAAGCATAGAATCGGTGGAGGTAATTAACTTGGACGGATCCTGTGAAGCCCTTGAGTCCAAGGCTTTGGCTTGAAAGGACAGATCTATGAGTTCTGGTTTCTCTTGAGTCTGGATTTCCATCTTGTGATGAACTGTAGGACATTAGGTCTGGTTAACTAATACTGTATGCCTGACGTCTTGTATTCTTCCTTGCCTGGTGGCAGGAAGTGGAGGCTCCCATTCTCTGTTCTTTGTGATTCCCCATCTCCCTCTAGCGGGCTTTGATGCAAACATCAAGCCAAGCCGGACAGGAAAACGTAGTTATAGAATGAGGCAAAAACATTCATCATGAGGTTGCAGCTGGAGAAACAAGAGGGGCAAGTGTAAGGCTCTGAAATATGTCCCCAGAGGTATTGTGGAGGAGGCACTGGCTTCTGCTAGTACTAATTCCCAGTCACCAAAGGAGAATACTCAAACTCAGGGAAGTTCTCTGTTTGCTGGTGGCTCTGATTCTGATGGTGCCTTGCAGAGAGAGGGCTGAGAGTCTGCCCTTGGAAAAAGGGAATGGAAGAGAGATGGACTTTCTTCACTCTAGTGATTGATTGAACCCGTTCTCCTCTGTGCACTGCATGGGTAAAAAGCCAGGTCACGATGAGGCTCAATGAGAAAAGGAAGCAAAACCCACAAGGGGGGAATTTCCTGCAAGAACCCCCCCCCCTTTATCTCAGTCCTAGCAATGGAGGTGGAGCACCTGCATTCCACTTTCCTCTTGACCAGCTTGTCTCTGGTTGAGCAAGAGGGCCACTGGATGACTTCAAACCAGGGTGCTTCATGCACCGTAAGGATTCTCTCTGGTTTGCTCACATATGAACTGGAAGAGATACAGATCTTGAAGAAGTTCCCTCTTGAAACTTCAATTCCCCAGATTTTTCTGTCTGGCAAATTCAGAAAGTTTTCCTCCCAAACAGAACTGGTCCAAACTGTTGTTTTAGGAAGACAGCATTTCTGAGGAAGGCAAGTAACTTAAAGGAAGTTTATTCCGTGTGTGCAAAGCTGGTTCCTTGTCTATTCAGTGACTTCAAATATTCATATTGTTTTAAATGGTCAAGTCATTTTGATGTTCATGTAAGATTTGCATAATGGATGGCAACTAATTGCAGGGGTGCATGAGAATGTTTGGGTTGCATGCTTCCTCACATGCCCAAATGCCCAGCTAAAATGCAACCTGGCACCTCATCAATTTGCAATTCGTTACAGCAATTCCAACAGAGCGTACATAGACACCGATACGATTTTGGAGGATAGTTTTTTGAAAGTTGTTATGTCTCTTAATTTCCCATTTGTCCAACGATTCAAGCTCCAATTAGGTCATGGACCCTTCATCGGGGTCTTGTGTATCTGTTTCTATTTGAAAGCGCATGATGTTCCTCCTGGCCAGTTTGCAGAGCAGATGTTCCAACATGAAGTTCCTTGACTTGCGCAAGACCAATTTGCATGATTTACTCTCATGAGTGGCAGCAGCCAGAACACAAGAGGATGGGGAGAAGCCAAGGTCTTCCCAATCACAGGGAGGCTGGAGCAACACTGGCTGTTTCGTTGCACAAGTTGCTCCACCCGAAGGACGTGGGTGGCAAAAAGCTCACCCCAATGCTTCACCTGGCTCCCTAAGATTAGCATTAGGCATCCTTCAGTCTTGAGAGACGATGGTAACATGCTCTGTATGGAGGACTTGGAACAGCATCTAGTGTGGCTGAGGAGGCCAATTCGAGAGTGACCATCCCTTCCACACTAAATACAAATCCAATCTGTCCCCTGTCCAGCTCCCTGATTTTGCTGCTTTCGTAACTGCCTCTTTGCCTCGGCCTGCTGGACAAGGGTCTCTTCAAATTGGAAGAGGCCATGAGATTGTGTTCCTTAAAATCAGTGGTTTTCACCCCTAACAATTCAACCACACCTTCAGAAAGTATATGCTTTGCAACACTGAAAAAAGAAGCCCGTCACCAGTAATCCAGTGGGTAGAAGACCTCATAACACCATCAACATCTGGGAGGCAGTTAAGAGATGGAAGTCAGAGGATGATTCTGTTTCTCTTCTCTAGAGAGGAAGAGGGAAGGTTCTTGTCTCAGTTCCCCATTAAACTGCACCACCGTGAAACTGATTGCCATTGTCATATGAAATAAAACAATAATAATGTGCCTCATCTGTAGCCTGGACATTCGTGATAGTTAACTGTCCAGCGTCTCCCGACTGGGAAGCTGTGAACCGATCAGAGATCCCTTCTCCCCTACTGTAGCTCTCACGGTGGACAAAGTGAGGAGCCTCTCCTGGTCTCTGCCGATACCATTGGAAGCCGCCCCAGCTACTACCGCCGCTTCTGGTGCAGGAGAGTTTCAATGTTTGTCCCGGAGACAGAGAGATGGAGGCAGGCTGGGTCACTGTTGCCTGGGAAGTGATTCCTTGGGAAGAAGGAGAAGCAAAAAGACATGAATTTGATACACTCTTTATGTAGTCAGATATCACAAAAGGATTAAGCACCTATGGTTCAGGTATAACCAAAACAGAAGTGTCACTGAAGACTGTGAAGCTCATTCTGCATGACCTTACCTAAGTGGTAACTGAGAAGGGCGAAGAGGAGCAGTCCATGGGCCATGATGTGGTCTCTGGAGGCAACTGACTTCGTCTCACAAAATCAACTAGCTGGAGGGCCCTTCCTTTCCTTTCTTAAATCTTTCTGGAGAGGAGAACAGCACCTTCATGCAAATGTGTTCGCTGTTCTTTGACTCTTAAAGAACTTGTGTATCTACTTACTTTTCTTATCACCATGCCAACAAAGACGAATGTGTATAAATAAGATTGAATAATTAAATCATGCTAGTATATTGTGCATTGTATAAAGCTGATCACTCAGATTGTTGTCTTATGTATTGGAGTGCTACAATGAGTTGTAATGACTTAACATCTTTTGAGCCTTTTGGGAAAAGTGACCTGGTCAGTGGACTAAATAAACCAATGGGCTGACTGACAAAAATCGTAGCTAAAAGCTCTGGGTACAGACAACTGAAGAGACATACAGCATCTGGCTAAGAGACTGAGTTAAAACTGATGAAGAATAACCATCAGTTTGTATGAATGGTGAATTCATTTCCTAGGAAGGGAGGTTCAATACACTATGTTCTGAATTTGAGATAGAAAGAGTGGTTTTGAGGAACAAGAATATTTCTTACTTTGGCCACTTTGGCTCTAGATGGACTCAGGGATCTCCTGAAAGGCTCAGGGGTCTTGCGGCCCATGTTGGAGGTCAAAGTACTGAAGTGCTAACAGAAGGTGGTTTTGGTGGTGCCCAGCCTGGGGGGGGGCACTGAAAGGAAGTGAAGAGCAGAGGAAGGGAACAGCAAGCCTCCCAGTCTGGTCTGGGTTGGGGCAGCCAGAAGACCTCCAAGCTCTTGAAAGACTTTACATGATTGGGAAAGATTTTACCCCTTCCAGTGTTCACTGAAAGCACCAAGAGGATCTTGGCCACAGGTGCAAAACGTGCCACACTCCAGACATTCTTAGACCGCAGGCAACTCTGTTAGACTGAGTAAGATAAGGTAAAGGTTCCCCTTGGCATTTAGTCCAGTCGTGTCCGATTCTACGGGGCAGTGCTCATCCCCGTTTCTAACCCATAGAGCCATCGCTTGTCCAAAGACAATTTCCGTGGTCACATGGCCAGCACAACTAGACACGGAATGCAGTTACCTTCCCACCATGGTGGTACCTATTTATCTACTCACATTTGCATGCTTTCGAACTGCTAGGTTGGCAGGAGCTGGGACAAGTGACGGGAGCTCACCCTGTCGTGTGGATTTGATCTTACGACGGCTGGTCTTCTGACCTTGCAGCACAGAGGCTTCTGCGGTTTAACCAGCAGCACCACCACATCCTTTAGACTGAGT